TATATATATATATATATATATATATATACACACACAGTAGTCCCTCGATTGTCGCAGGGGATTCGTACCCTGAAGCCTCGCGATGTGAAAAACCGCGAAATAGGAATAGTAGTACAAGTAGTAGTTTATTTTAGTATTTATATTATATAGATATTAAACCTTTCTCACACTCTTGCAATATTCTAAACAATGTTTCTAAAGTGTAAACGCTCTAAAAGAGCACTGCATGTCATGATTTCCCTCTCTGTGCTGCTCTCAGCCACATGCAAGGGCTCTTGGCTACACCCACTTCTCCGCTCTGGACGCAGATTCAATTCAATTCAGTTTATTTATTCATATAGCAAGTCATCTCAGGGCACTGAACAGAAAAAAATCATATACAAATTAGGTTAACAGAAACATTCATATATAAAAATAATAATTTAACATTTATCTGAGGAGCAGACTGCTTTGAGTTTAACTCCATCACAGAACTCTCATCTTGAGCAAGCATGAAGGCGACAGTGGAAAGAAAAACTCCTCATGAGGAAAAAACCTTTAGCAGAACCAGGTCAGGACAAGCCGCCATCTGCTTCAACCAGCTGGGTTTGAGAGGAACAGGAAGGAGGAACAGATACACAATGGCAGGTCAAGAATCACGTTAAGATAGAAATAGTATCGAATGAAAACGATTCAACTTTAGCAATTAATTTAAAGAAATTAGGTCAATTTGTCCTCTAGTAGTCTAAACTTCAGACAGCATAACAAGCCAACCCTAACTATAGGATTTATAAAAAAGGAAAGTCTTAATCCCAGTCTTAAAACTGGACAATGTGTCAGTCTCACGGACAGAAACTGGAAGTTGGTTCCACAAGAGAGGAGCCTGAGAACTGAAAGATCTTCCTCCCATTCTGCTTTTGGAAACTCTAGGAACCACGAGTAAACCTGCAGTCTGAGAGTGAACTGCTCTGTTAGGAAAATATGGAACAATAAGATCTGTAATATAAGATGGAGCTAGGTTGTTGAGGGCTTTGTAGGTTAGAAGTAAGATTTTGAATTCTATTCTGGATTTGACAGGGAGCCAATGGAGAGAAGCTAAAACTGGAGAGTAGGGCTGGTCGATATAGGCCTAAATTAATATCTCGATATTTTAAGCTAAATCGTGATATACGATATATACATCTATTCTTTTCTTTCCATAAAGTAATAACTAATATATTTCTGAGTCAAAGCTTTGTCCCAATTGTCACACAGGCACATATAGTAAGTAGCTGTAACTCTACAAAATAAATGTCTAAAACAAACTATTTACATATATTAAATAGTTTATATTTTATACATTTATTTAGATATATTAAATAATAATCCTCTTCAGCTGGGGGCAGCTGTGGCTACGAGGCTAGAACAGTCGTCCTCCAATGGGAGAGTTGGGGCTTTGATTCCAGCAGTCACATGCTGAAGTGTCCCTGGGCAAGACACTGAACCCTCATTGCCTCAGATGTGTCCCATCAGTGCATGAATGTGATAAAGCTCTGATTAATCTTTGTATAGATCTAGTAGAGTGTATGAATGGGTAAATGAGGACACAGATTGTGTTGTAAAGAGCTTTGAGTGTCTTGATAAGATAGAAATGTGATATATAAGTACAGTCCATTCAGCTGCGCCGCCTTCACGTTAGTAAGCGTGTGTGACACTGCAGCTGCAGGTCTGACAGACTTCAGCCTCCTTCCCTGAAAAAAAACCACGCGTCAGAACTCAATTAGCCGTGCTGTGCCTTTTGAGAGGAACAGAGAGGAGGCGACATTAATAAACCAGCAGTTTATCATATCGCTAAGACACGGTCCTCAGCTGTGGAACGAGACAGCTAAAAGTGTTAGCCGTCTTGTTAGCTGCTAAGGAGCTGCTTAGGACCATGTTTTAGTTTAAAAACTTGGCATGAAACCTATTCAAGACTAATCATTTAAATGATCATTTTCCCCTTCCCATAGTGAAAAACTGGCTGCTCCTGGAAGGGTTGTGTTGACTCTATATCCTCTGTCACAACTGGCTTATCAGAGATATACTTTAATCAAATATTAAACAAGTATAACTGCCTAAAGAGTGTGTGAAAAGATTTTCATAAAATCTTTCACAAGTCGACCTTCAAGGACACTCAATACAGCAGTGGGACTTAGGAGAGTAACACATAATTTCTCACCAGTTATAAAAACAGGATAACGAGATGAGATATGCTGGACTTGCAGGCGGAGCAAACACGTCAGATAGTCTGGTTGATCTTTTGATGCCAAGTCACACTCATGGTAAGGCAAGACCTCCAGTATCCCAGCGTCTTGGCCCCAGCACAGGAAGAGCTTCTTCTCATTTGCCTCTTCGCTCAACCTGGATTCAAGATGGAAAACATTCAGATAGGCAAGACTTAAAGAACACAACCAGTAAGCTACAGGTGCTGGTCATAAAATTAGAATATCAAGAAAAAGTTGATTTATTTCAGTAATTCCATTCAAAAATGAAACATTTATATTATATTCATTCATTACACACAGACTGATATATTTAAAATGTTTATTTCTTTTAATGTTGATGATTATAACTGACAACTAATGAAAACCACAAATTCAGTATCTCAGAAAATTAGAATATTACTTAAGACCAATAAGAAAAATGATTATTAGAAATGTTGGCCAACTGAAAAGTATGAACATGAAAAGTATGAGCATGTACAGCGCTCAGTAGTTGTGGCTCCTTTTGTCTGGATTACTGCAACAATGCAGCGTGACATGGAGTCGATCAGTCTGTGTCACTGCTCAGGTGTGATGAGAGTCCAGGTTGATCTGATAGTGGCCTTCAGCTCTTCTGAATTGTTGGGTCTGGTGTATCACATCTTCTTCTTCACAACACTTCATAGATTTTCTATGGAGTTAAGGTCAGATGAGTTTTCTGGTCAATTAAGAACAGGGATACCGTGGTCCTTAAACCAGGTACTGGTAGCTTTGGGACTGTGTGCAGGTGCCAAGTCCTGTTGGAAAATGAAATCTGCATCTCCATAAAGTTGGTCAGCAGCAGGAAACATGAAGTCTAAAACTTCTGGCTGCATTGACCTTGGACCTCAGAAAACACAGTGGACCAACACCAGCAGATGACATGGCACCCAAACATCACTGACTGTGGAAACTTGACACTGGACCTCAAGCAACATGGATCCTGAGCCTCTCCTCTCTTCCTCCAGACTCTGGGACCTTGATTTCCAAAGGAAATGCAAAATTTACTTTAATCAGAGAACATAACTTTGGACCATTCAGCAGCAGTCCCAGGTGAGACACTTCTAACACTGTCTCTTGTTCAAGAGTGGCTTGACACAATGGGATGTATCAGCTCAAACCCATGTCTTGCATACGTCTGTGTGGTGGTTCTTGAAGCACTGACTCCAGCTGCAGTCCACTCTTTGTGAATCTCCCCCACATTTTGGAATGGGTTTTGTTTCACCATCCTCTCCAGGGTGTGGTTATCCCTATTGCTTGTACACTTTTTTCTACCACATCGTTTCCTTCCCTTCGTCTCTCTATTAATGTGCTTGAACACAGAGCTCTGTGAACAGCCAGCCTCTTTAGCAATGACTTTTTTGTGTCTTGCCCTCCTTGTGCAAGGTGTCAATGGTCGTCTTCTGGACAACTGTCAAGTCAGCAGTCTTCCCCATGATGGTGTAACCTCCAGAACTGGACTGATTAGAGCATGGCACCAATGCCCCTTTTCCATTAGTACCGGTACGGGCCGGTACAGCCCGGCTCTACTCTACTCGGTACGGTACAGGTTGTGTTTCCATTATGCTTTCAGTACCGGTTCCAGTGGGCGGGGTTCAAATTGACGTCACCACCTCTCACCAGCTGGTGGCGCTGAGACGCAGAAACTGTTTTCAGTACAGGTTGAGAATTTATGTTATTTTGAAGTTGTGTGTATGTATGTATGCATGTGTATAAATATATACATATATACACACACACACATATATATATATATATATATATATATATATATATATATACACACATATATATATATATACACATATATGTGTATATATTTATGTGTATATATATATATATATATATATATATATATACACACACATATATATATATCATATGTGATATATATATATCACATATGTATATACACACAATTATGTATATATATGTATATATATACACATATGTATTTATATACATATATATGTATTTATATATATATACATATATATTTATCTATATTTATATATATATATAAATATATATATATGTATATAAATTACATATATATGTATTTATATATATATATATACATATATATTTATCTATATTTATTTATAGATATAAATATATATATATGTATATAAATTAAAACTCTGATGAACCAGATTCTACAAAAACATTACATTTAAATTTTTATAGGTTTTCATCATCATTTGATGTATTTGCACTCATTGTGTCTACTTTTAATGTTCATTTTAAATGTGTGGTTTTCTTTCTTGTTCACATATATACATTTTATTTTTAGCTTTGCTTTAAAGTTCTTGTTTTGTGATTTGTACATTTGTGAGTTAAAATAAAGTTGAACTGAAGGTCGTCTCTTTTCTTTAAACATGTTTGAGGGAAATATTCCTGAGATCCAATAGTTTTGTGTCTTTTTATGATTTTCAGCTGAGTTAACAGTCATTAAAGTGAAAACAGGATTTCATGATGAAGCTGGCACCGTTTTTTTTCTTTTTTTTTTAAATCTTCAACGCTCTGCTGGTCTCGCACGACACTGCCCGCAGTCACACGATCCTCTCCTCCGGAGAGGAGGAGGCTGGGAGGCTCATCCTCCCAGCTCCAGTTCAGCTGGTCACTCACAGAGGCTGTTCCAAGACTCCAGCCGCGCGTAATCATGAAGGCTCGACCCGCGCAGACAGACGAACAAAGACGGGTCTGCGACGAACGGTGGAAGCGATTTTAAAAAACATTTTACGTGTAAAAAAATAATAATCATTTTTAAATCGCTTCAGCATTTTTTTAAAACATTTTTTGTATAAAAACAAAATATTATTTTATTTAAAAATCGCTTCCAGCGTCCGTCCCAGACTGTCCAGTCCGCCTGACTGCCGGGCGGGATCGGGATTCAGCCTTCATGATTACGCGCGGCCGGGGTCTGGCAACGGCCATCTGTGAGTCCCCATCTCCAGATTTGCAGTGACCTGCGGAGCTCTGAGCACACAAGGCTGGTATCTGGAACCCGAGCCTCCGAGTCGGCACATCGAAGGATCTTCCGCGGTGACCAGCTGAACTTGGAGCCGGGGAGATGACGCCCTGCCCGGCCTGGCGCTCCGAGGCTCCGGAGGGAGGATCGGGGTGCACCAGCAGAGCTCCATCCAGCTTGCTCTGAATTATGTTGTCGGCCACCAAGCACAAAAAATGCCAGCACATCAGCATTAGACCAAGATGTTGTCAGTATTGTTTTTAAAATCTTTAAAATAAGTCCAGGCTGCTCCAGTCCGAGAAATTGCAAATGGCGGATTATTGTTTTGAAACGTTTCTGAAGGATCCAGTGACTCCGCCCCCGACTCCGCCCAATCAGTGACCGACAGTGTACTGACGTCACGTTTTTGTACCTCTTCGTACCGGTTAGAACCACAGAGCCAAGGGTACTGAAAATAGTAACAGGTGCTAAGTACCGGTACTAATGGAAAAGCCTCAGAACCGGGCCAAGTAGGGTCGAGTCGGCCCGTACCGGTACTAATGGAAAAGGGGCACAAGTGTCTTCAATATTGAACCTTTTCACAATATTCTAAATTTTCTGAGATACTGAATTTGAGGTTTTCATTAGTTGTCAGTTATAATCATCAACATTAAAAGAAATAAACATTTGAAATATATCAGTCTGTGTGTAGTGAATGAATATTATATACAAGTTTCACTTTTTGATGGGAATTACTGAAATAAATCAACTTTTTCATGATATTCTACTTTTATGACCAGCACCTGTATAAGCATGGTTAAAACAAAATACAGCTATTACAACAAATCGTAATTGGTGAAGTGATGCTGCAGTTTTTAACTCAATTAAGATTTAACTGGGCAATACATAACCACATGTATCAATAATGGATCCAACCTGAAATATAACAAAAAATACAAGTTACCTAGTTATTTAAATACTCCCACCACAAACACACGGTAAAAAGAATTGGTTAATCATCAGGTATTATGTGCTAAAAGGAAACTATTTTGTTTTGTAAATAGAATTAAATTTAATTTTCACCTTGCATTTTCTTTCAGGCGACGGCTGTCTCTGTAGTGTAGCATCCATTTCCACTTCCCCGTTCTGCTCAACACTTGCAAACATTCAGAGATTTTTTTCATGTAGCCTATAAATTCAGATCAAAATGTGAAAATTGGTTAAACTAGAACAATTTGCTTTAATTAGGATACATCAAACAAAAAAATAGTTTAGTATTAGGATAGGTGAACATACAAAGGCTGAGGGGCTCCAGTAGCGCTTTGTCAAACATGATAAAGCCAGCCTGGGTGAAAAGCTCCTGATGAGTGAAATTAACAACATCATCCGGCTCATCAATTCCCGCAAACTGCACATCTGGGGTCATCTTCAGCTTGAGCAACTGCGGTATCTGAAAACCACAGAGCTGAGTCATTCCATTCTGATCATCTTTGGTCAAAATCCTTCTGTTATTCCACCTTATCACAACTGGCCCTTTACCTTGCAAATGTGCTCTGCAATGTCTTCATTTCTGAGGATGATGAGAAGACACGAAGAACTGCCTTCATCGTGAAAGAATTCAGACGGCTGTACAGCAGTGTGACCCTCAGCCTCCATGTAAGCCTTTGGAAAAAGAAAGGAAAACATCTTTAGAAGACCAAAGTCCATGCTCAATAATCCAGATATAAAATCCAATAATATTCAGTCAGGTCATCTGGACGGTTTCTTTTTTTGCTGAGACGTTTCGTCCTTCATCCAGAGGACTTCCTCAATCCGAGAAGCCACCAAACAAAACTGATTCCCACAAACAGCATACTCCATAGTGGAAAAGACAGTTTGCTGGTGCTGGGATGGCCTCTGGGGCCCACCCTCTCCCTCGTCAACTCCTCAGACCATACCATGGTGAAATTGGCTCTCTGCATTTAGCCCATCCACCACCAGGTGGAGTGGTGGGTGGCTGTGGAGGGCACCTGGGGAGTAACTGGGGATAATGTGTGTATCAGAGCCACCACGGGATGTGTAATGACCGGGGATCGAACCTGAGACCTTCGAGTTCCGAGTCGGCTGCCCTGCCTCTACACCATCTCGGCTCCCCATATACCAGTACATCTGAAAATGTTGAACTTCATTGTGGATCAAATGATCAGTTTTAACCATTTATAGATTAGCTCTAAGAAATGTGGCCCAAGTTTAAATAAAGCCATTTACTTGTTTTTGGCTTATTCTATTACTACACCAACAATGCATTCAAAGAACTTGGTGGATACTGATTATTAGTGGTGCACCGATGTCCCCCGTCGCTGACGGATTTGAAGAGTGAATGTTTGAAAACAGGTAGTTTATCATTTGTGTGTGTGTCTTGTCTGAGGCAGTGCAGAGTGATAGATCCTGGCCAATCTTCAGCAACCCCAATCATTTGAGGAAACTATGCTGTTAATATAAAAAACAGAAAGCATAACGATTGGAGTGACTGGTTTTACTAATACATTTTGATAGTGACCTTTTTTACTCCAAGATGCAGCCACACCCAAAATGGAAGTTGGAACTGGTTGCATACTTTTCCTGTTATCCAGCTCAAAAGGGTAACATGTATACTCTACAGTGGTGGTGCTTGAAAATTTGTGAACTCTTTAGAACAGGACTATTCAACTAAACTGCTCAGGGGGCCACGGTTTCTGAAAGCCAGCAGCTCAGGGGCCGGACAACCAGGAATAAGTAATACCTTTTACATTTGTTTTATTGCATTGAATCATAAATGCAATAAACAGAACCCAAAACCCAAACCCAGACCCCCCGCGCCCCCCCCAACAAAAACTTATATAAGACGGTGAGGAAAATAAGTATTTGAACACCCTGCGACTTTGCAAGTTCTCTCACTTAGAAATCATGGAGGGGGGTCTGATATTTTCATCTTAGGTGCATGTCCACTGTAAGAGACAATGTATGATTTTTTAAATAATTTATTTGTGTGTTACTGCTGCAAATAAGTATTTGAACAGCAGCCAATCAGCAACAATTCTGGCCCTCAAAGACCTCAAAGACCTGTTAGTCCTCCTCCACAAAGTCCACCTCCACTCCACTTATTACTCTTAATTAGAAGCACCTGTTTGAGGTCGTTAGCTGCATAAAGACACCTGTCCACCCCACACAGTCAGTAAGACTCCAACTACTAACATGACTAAGACCAAAGAGCTGTCCAAGGTAGATGGCTCCTATAGTTTTAGCATATTAGCAATGAGTGTCATGCAGAATTACTGTATTTTTCTTTGTATAAGTCACAGTTTTTTTGCATAATTTACATGCCCTGCTGAAGTGACATATTTATGGATTTTCCACCCATATTTATAAACCATTCTTTGGCTGAGATGATTGTTTTCATTCATTCTGACTGAAAAATAAAATTGAGCAGTACCACTTTCAGCCACTTGATGACAGCAGAGTAGTAATGGTGTATGGCATGCTGTTTGCTGTTGTATCATGTAATAAGAAAACATGGCTACAATGACTAATTCAAAAAAGTTCAAGACAAAAACAACTGGACTTTATTTATTATACTTTGTTTTTTTTTCTTGAACTTTTTTGAATTTACCATGTCCTGGATGACTGAGAAGCTTCACCAGCAATTAATGACTCAATCGGCCCGCCACAGCCGCCCCACCTTGGTTCTGCTTGCTGTTTGGACCGACAGTCAATCCAGCTGCACTGCCCTGGAAAAATGCAGCTGATTTGACCAATAAAATGCATTTATTAAGCAAATGTTAGACTGAGACAAACCTTTGCTAGAATTTCAAGCAAAAAAACAATTGTTTAGGTGCAGTTATTGTTAATTTTCGGAGAAACAAGCCCTTCTTCCTTTTCGCTTCCTCTGCGCGTTTATGGAGCACCGAGGCAGCCAACTATTTTTTAAATACAGCTGATTTGAACATTAAAGTACATTTATTAAGCAAATGTTAGATTGATAAACATCTTAATATAATTTTGAGCAAACAAACAATTGTTTTTAAGTGTTAATCTTGTTAAATTCTTGTTAAAGTCCTCCCGTGCACGTTCCCACAGCTGCTATTTGGTAGCCCATCAGTTTTTGGCAAACACTGGCCCACACTTCTGGGTTGTCAGCGGTGACGCGTAACAAACGCGACGCGTCAGTGATGACGCATAATAGATGCGACGTATACGGCAAAGCGACATATTTATTTCCACTTTATTAGACAGATATGGACTGATGCAACTTATATGGCGGTGCGTCGCGGAAAATACGGTAATATGAAAAATAGCACAAACACGACTAACCTGACCTGCAGCTCTGTTCCCTTCAGCGTCCCTCTGTATTTTCCCCACATACTGGCACTTCTGCTCACGCTTATAAGCCTAACCGACAGGGCTGTGGTAGCCCACGTGATCCCCTGAAACCCAGTGAATGGCCGTTATGGTTCAGTAAATAATCTCACGAAAACAACTACTCACTTCATTAGAAGTATTACGAGATATTAAAATGTGGAAGCAAATGCAGAGGCAGAACGGACTAAGAGGAGATGGGGAGACAGACGTGGGATGTAACATCTGGGTTACAGAATGTTAATGTTCATGAGTTCACCATCAGGAGAATTCAATTCAATTCAGTTCAGTTTATTTATATAACGCCAAGTCACAACAGAAGTCGTCTCAGGGCACTGAACAGAAACATTCATATATAAAAATAATAAGTAAACACCATTTATCTGAGGAGCAGACTGCTTTGAATTTAACTCCATCGCAGAGCTCTCCTCTTAAGCAAGCATGAAGGCGACAGTGGAAAGGAAAAACTCCCTCATGAGGAAGAAACCTTCAGCAGAACCAGGCTCGGGACAAGTGACCATCTGCTTCAACCAGTTGGGTTTGAGAGGAACAGATACACAATGGCAGGTTGAGAATCACATGTTAAGATTGAAATAGTATCAAATGAGAACTATTCAATTTTAACAAATCATTTAAGGAAATGAGGTCATTTTGTCCTCTAGTAGTCTAAGCTTAAGGCAGCATAACAAGCCAACCCTAACTATAGGATTTATCAAAAAGGAAAGTCTTAATCCCAGTTTTAAAACTGGATCATGTGTCAGCCTCAAGGACAGAAACTGGAAGTTGGTTCCACAAGAGAGGAGCCTGAGAACTGAAATATCTTCCTCCCATTCTGCTTTTGGAAACTCTAGGAACCACAAGTAAACCTGCAGTCTGAGAGCGAAGTGCTCTGTTAGGAAAATATGGAACAATAAGATCTGTAATATAAGATGGAGCTAGGTTGTTGAGGGCTTTGTAGGTAAGAAGTAAGATTTTGAATTAAATTCTGGACATGACAGGGAGCCAATGGAGAGAAGCTAAAACTGGAGAAATGATCTCTCCCACTAACTCCAGTTAAGACTCTGGCAGCAGCATTTTGGATCAAATGAAGACTTTTTAAAGAAGTATTTGGACACACAGATAATAAACCATTGCAATAGTTCAATCTAGATTTGACAAATGCATGGACCAGTTTTTCTGCATCATTTTTAGATGTTTCTAATCTTAGTGATATTACGCAGGTGGAGGAAAGCGGTTTTGGTAACTTTTTTAATGTGGGGGATAAAAGACATGTCCTGATCAAAAATAACCCAAGATTTTTAACTTTAGAACTGGAGGCCAGATTAATGCCATCCAGAGAAACTTGAATACTGAAAAATGTATTTCTAAGATGCTCAGGTCCAAAAACGACAACCTCAGTCTCGTCTTAGTTTAAAAGCAGAAAATTTAGGGTCATCCAGGTTTTTATGTCTTTAAGACATGCTTGTAGTCTAAGTAAGTGATTGTATTCATTGGATTTCATGGACAAATATAACTGTGTGTCATCAGCATAACAATGGAAATTTATCCCAAGCTGTTTAATAACATTGGAAGCATATATAAAGGTAGAGTATTGGTTCAAGAACTTAACCCTGAGGAACCCATTACTAACTTTGATGTATGATGAAGATTCATTATTTCAAGGATTGAAGGTTCTTTGTCATTCACACCACATGTGGTACGTGGTTGAACAAAATTGCGTACACAGGGTCCCAGTTACATCCAACATTTACAAATTGGAATCTATCAGATAAATATGATTTAAACCAATTTAGAGCTGTTCCTGTAAGTCTAATATCATATTCAAGTCTCTGCAACAGAATATTATGATCAACTGTATCAAATGCAGCACTAAGGTCTAACAGGACCAGTGTAGACACCTGTCCATTGTCAGAGGCCATGAGAATATCATTAGAGAACACTGAACAACAATGGTGTGCAAGGCGGAAGCCACTGCCCTCCAAAAAGAACATTACTGCTTATCTGCAGTTTGCTAAAGATCACGTGGACAAGCCAGAATGCTGTTGGATGAATGTTTTGTGGACTTAAGTGACCAAAATTGAATCTTTTAAATGTTTAAATGAAAAGTGTTATGTTTGGAGAAAGAAAAACTGCATTCCTGCATAAGAACCTTATTCCATCTGTGAAACATGGTAGTTTCATGGTTTGGGCCTGTTTTCCTGCATCTGGGCAAGGACAGCTTGCCAACCATTGACGGAACAATGAATTCTGAATTATATCAGAGAATTCTAAAGGAAAATGTCAGAACATATGTCCATGGACTGAATCTCCAGAGAAGGTGGGTCATGCAGCAAGTCAATGACCCTTAGCACACAAGTGGTTCTACCAAAAAATGGTTCAAGAAGAGTAAAGTTCATGTTTTGGAATGGCCAAGTCAAAGTCCTGATCTTAATTCAATCCAGATGTTGTGGAAGGACCAGAAGCAGCAGTAAATGTGAGGAAACCACCAACATCCAGAGTTGACGCCCTTCTGTACAGAGGAATGGACTAAAACTCCTACAAGCTGGTCTGCAGGACTGATCATCAGTTCCCAGAAACATTTGGTTGCAGTTATTGCTGACGGGGGGGTGTACTGAAAGCAAAAGTTCACATACTTTTAATACACAAATATTTAATATTGGCTCATTCTCATCAATTAATAACTGACCAGGTAGGCCCGTCACAATAACAAATATTGCTAGGCGATTATCTCAGAAATTATTGCAATACACGATAATATTGTTTGAAATTTAACAATAACTGTCAAATTTTAGAAGAAATGTTAATTTGGAGTGTAGTACCTTTTTTGACCAACTGATGGCAGTATAAGACTGTTTGAACCAAAGGACAGATAGTTGAGCAGCATGTCTCTAAGAAAAGTGGGAGGGAGGGCCCTTGACGTGACATGGGCTGACATGGCGGACGCTCGGTGATTTGAGCTCTTTAGCACAGCATTTTTCACACAAAGCTTTTAATTAAAAAATCAGTAAACAAGTTCTCAGCTTCTTTTTGCAGAGAAAGGCAACTTTTTACATGAAGGCACAGGTTTCAACCGTGAATTTTGGAGCTTGGCAAGACGGAGGTTTATTCCCGAGGCCGGCCTGTTAGCTTAGCTTCTCCGCTAAGCTGCTTTTAACAATCCAAAAACGCGATCTTGGATAGTTAAAACAGATAAAAAAAAAACAAACAGATTTTAAAGAGAAAAGAGAAGGGGAGGGGTCAGTGAAGAACACCGGAGTTGAGCTTTTTGTCATCTAGTGTCTTCAGTACAAAGAGTCACGAAGAAACAATAAACCGATAAATGAAAATGAGGTCGATCATTTTCATTCATCATGCGATTAATTGATTTCTTGTTTATCGTGACAGGCCTGTGACCAGGTTTAATTTTTTTTGGCTCATTTGTTTAAATGGGTTCTCCATCTACTTTTAGGACTTGTGTGAAAATCTGATGATGTTTTAATCATATTTATGCAGAAATATAGAAAATTCTAATGGTTCACAAACTTTCAAGAACCACTGTACATTTATGCAGCAGCCATCTTAGATTTTGACCTGGCAACCCAATTGTGTTGATAAGGAATGACATCACGAGAATTGTGGGGAATCCCCAAAGTCACGGATGCCGCGCAAACAAAGTGGCAGATCTCACGCATAACGGACACCTCCAATGCTTTTGTACATGTCAACTTGAACTAAAATGACGTCCCCAGGCCCAAAATCAACTAAGAATATATTGAAGGTGCTGGTGAAAATTCTCAGTCATCCAGGACATGATAAATTCAAAAACATTCAAGACAAAACAAATTGACTTTATTTGCAACTGAAGACGTTTCGCTCCTCATCTGAGAAGCTTTCTCAATTCAAAGAGCAGAGCATGTGGGGTTCAGGTTATAAAGCTGAGATAAGAAACACATACATATGTAGATTGACAAATCACACCTCACACCTTAACAGTAGGGGTTTCTTAAGGTCTTTGTTAATTTAATTCACAGATGAGGCCCCTCTGTTCCCATCTGATAGGTGTGAAACTGGCTGGGTATCAGTTCCAAAGCTGCATTATAAGTTTTTGAAAGTTGAAATCTGAGACCAAATCCTCTGTTTAGTGATGGTTTCTCTCTTTTTACATAAACAGCTTCCTTCACCCTCCTCTCAAACCATATGTGTTCTCGGCTCAAAATGTGCACATTTTGGTCCTCAAAAGAGTGTCCATATCCACGATGTGGAGGTGAACAGCTGAGTCTTGTCCAGAGGAGGTGGCTCTCCTGTGTTGAGTCATGCGTCTGTGACGAGGCTGTTTAGTTTCCCCAATGTAGAGGTCTGGACAATATATTGAAGGATACAGAAATGCACAACTCAAACCCTGGCTACAATGCAGAGGACTGGTAGTGTCCGGCATCTGAGCCTAATTGAAAAAAGTTACGTGGGGCATTCCCGGTGCTTCTGTGCTGATTTGTGCTCTTTTGCCTGAGTAAAACCGAGCAAAGATGACAGAAGATTTTGCTGGATGGTACTGATTCGTCATGTATTGCACCGGTTTTCAGAGGCAGGCCTGAATGACTTTTCCAGCTGTTTATTTTATTTTACTTTGTTAGCTGATGTTAACCATTAGCTGTCCGTAATCAGTTACGCTAATTTTTAAAAAGTGAAAATGAAAAAGTGAATATGAGGCTTGTCAGCATATTGGCCATCATCACTATTGTAAGTCCTGTAGCACCAAAGCTTCTTAGATACCATTTTTCTGCAGTTTTTTTTTTTTAATCAACGCAAACCACAACTACAGCACTAACTGTGTTATACTCGGAAATTATGTTTGCCCGAAATCCAGGTACTTGCTGGCATCAAATACTGTGTAGGCAGCTAATTAGTAACCCTGACCAATGCTATTACAGAAGGGAACCTTTCATATGCTCAGATGTAGCCACTCACCAAACTAAAAGCCAATACTCACTTATTTCAAGTTATAGTGCTCACAACTTGCACGGACGACAGTATTTCCAATGCCTATTTGATGATGGGGGACAATTTGAAGTTTTGGGAGAAGCAAAAAGCAGGAGAAAATAGTTTAAATAACCAACTGGTACTTTTGAGGTTCAGAGGAATAAACATGTTTTGAAGTTGAAGATGGGAACAGATAAAGGAGGAAAGGCTGATTTGCTTCTATTTTAAGGTGGGAATGTGACTTATTTTCCCAAACTTGAACCTCGCACTGACCAAGATTTTTTTAAACCAAAGCCAGGCAAAGAAAATGCCAGAGCAGAACTTTTCAGAGAATCCGACTCATTAGTGACTTATGACACTCATAAGTGCATTGAAGCACTGATTTAATAGCTTTTCATCCAAACTGCAGCTAGGGGTATAAAACATTTACACTCAAAGATAAAATTGTTTTTTTTTTTCTTACGGTATGTTTTTCTTTCCACATCTATCCATTTACTCTGTTTTAAGAGATAACTAATATCTCAAATGTTATTTTTTGTTTACATGCTTGTTCCACCACAACCCAACAGTGAAAGTTCATGGATATCAAGCTTACCTTAGTTTTGTCAAAGAAGACAGCATCCGACGTCACCAATATGTAGAATCTGTACTTTGTTTTACAGGATTTCTTCACCACTGCATTCAGATTACACCGGAAAGACTTGTCAAGTTCTTTCTTCATTTGATCACAGAAGTCAAAATGGTTACTTGCTTCAGTTCCAGAGTAACCTTGGTGGATTCTTTTAGGTCTACAAGTCTTTTTGATAGAACAAACATTATGCATCTTGGCCTCATACACCTTAGTGTATTCTGCAACCATACCAGAAATCCCAGCATGTTCCACTGGGTTGTTTGTTCTCTGAGAATGAGAAAACACCATTTTTTCTTCCTTTCTGGGGTCTGTCAGGCCTTTTCTATCGGACATGTCTACACTTATTTTTTGTATAACAAGTGGCATGTCCAAGACCTCTAGAGAATCAAGATCAAGATTGGAGAAGTTGACAGTCAGAGGACTGGTGCAAGCCTGAGTCGAACTGTCACAAGTATCCTGTTGGCCGATGGGTCCATCTTTGCTCTTTTTCAAAAGGTTTTTCATTTGCTCAGAGAAGATAAGAGATTCTTGTTCCACTGACGCCTTAGTGAGGTCATCTGACAGGCACCTCCGAGAGAGCTGGTCCAAAAAAGAGTAAGAGTTCTTCTGATCTGTATTGAAGACTGTACATACAAGTACACCTGGAGTCTCTGGAATGTGTTCGTCTTCACTTGAGTTATCTTTGTGATAACTCATTTGTTTAGTTGTATGCTCAATTGTATCATGTAACTTGTATTTCAATGACCCTTGGCATCCATCCACATATTCAGGGTAACTTTCTGTAGAATCAAAAGACTGAACTGTGAACTCTGAAGTGTTTCTTTCCTTGTACCGATGTTGCAGATCAAGGACAGATTTGACTTCATTTGCTTTATTTGTATTACAGCTGGTGTTTGCCAACAAAGGGGTTTTGGAAGAAAGTTCACGAGTATTGTTATGTTTCAGTCTTTTAAAATTTCCTTTTGTTGTATTCTTTGAAGGTACAAGGTTTTTCACTGAGTTTTTGATAGTATGAGCAATAGCTCGTTTATTGTGGGAGGTAGTTTCAACATCAGTGTCTTCTGTGAACCAATGGGCCCGACTTTCCTCATTCTTTGATGGTTTCACGGCCATGACAGGACGCTGAGCTTTTGAACAAGAGTCATGTTTTAAACTGGACTGTAAAGTTGGTTTATGCTTACCTCGCAAACCTACAGAAGAGGCACAAGATCTGGAGGACTGCATGTCTGACACTACGGAGGGATGGTGTCTGTTGGAACTTTTGAACTGGTGTGAATGAATTGATGATTTTTTGTTCCTTGGCTGCAATTTTACATGAAGTACTTCCTTTAAGTTATTTTTGAAAGGTGAAGCAAGAGTGTCATCTGTTGGTTTTGGGGCCAGGTCTTGTGAGCTTGTATTTGATATCTCTGGTGGCTTTTCACAACATGTTCTTTCATTCGTAACGTCAACTGAAATATGGCTTGGGCCCAAGCATGTGAGGGCTGATTTCTGGCTGGAGATTTTTGGGGGATCAGGAGATGTTTTTTTGTCAGCCTTGTCGTGGTATGCTGCAGAAAGATATTCGTCTATACTTTGAAGAACTCTGAGAGTTCTGAGTTTGACATCAGGACCAAGGTTATGAAGACGATTAGGATCAGTGTTGGCTGTGGAAGTTTGACCTTTCTGTTTCAAAGGCAGCTCTTCCGTAACAGGCGTTGAGCTTCTGCTAGAACATTTTTCAGAGATGTTTGGGCAGATTTCATTAGCAAAACTACTACTGCCAAGACTTGAAGATGATACATCCTCATATGGTTTTTCATCCATGGTTGGGGTAGGGGACCTGCTGTCAAGCACATATTGTAATACTTCAGATTTGTGGGTTTTGCTTGCATGAAGAATTGGCATTTTGTTAGACAACAATTCTGCATTTTCATCACAAATTTGAGATGGGCTACACACTTCAATGGGAAACTCATGAACAGGGCCAGGAGTTTCATTAAGAAATGGTATTGCTTCCTGGCATGGAACAGCCTTCTCTACCTCGTCTTGTGATTGTACCACGTGGATTCCATGTGGGTTTGTTTCGAAAACTGGAATTGCAATCCCGTCAAATTTTTTATCCATTTCACTAATTGTTTCATTTGCGGTGGAACCCATTTTTTCAGTTAATGACTTGTCTAGCTCACACATGTTGACAACTGGACATGTGGATGGAGACAGTGACTGTAGTTGAATTGGTTCTTGAGTTGTTTTGCCCATATTGTCTTCTATCTCAGCTAGCTTGATTTCTTGTTCTTTGTGATCATTATTACAAAGATGAAAATTAAAGTTCAATTCTTTGGTTTTGTACTCTGTTTCAATGCTATTTTTTACCTTGGGAACGGAAGATTCATCCAATAAGCAGGTGCTTTCATCAAAAAAGGGTAACGCTGGGTTAAGACAGATTTCCTTGTTCATCTCAAAGTTTTCCTCAGCCAAAGAGTCTTTAGAAATGCATGTAATGTCTGTTGAAGTGGAACAACTGTTTAAAATTGGATTTCCATCTTTTAAATTAGTTGGATTTGCACACAAATTATAGCCAATGTCTTCTGTGCTATCTGCCAAAGGTAGCTGCTCATGCATTTGTGCTTGGATACTTTCTGAAACGCAAACCTCCTTCATTGGAACATCACACATCTCGGGTGTCGGCTGATTTCCCAAATCTCTGTCAGTTTCAGTTGTAGAAATGCAGCTTTCTTTCTCATCAAATCCACTGGCTCTCAAGTAATCATTATCCTTAAACTCTTTACGTTTTTCACAACAATCCACTTTCCCATTTAGATTGTCATTTTGGATTGGCGAGACATCTTTACTTTCCACCCTTGACCATATCTTTCCATTTACTAAATCATCTTCAGCGCAGATGATATCTGATTCTTTGTTAGCAGAGTCATCATCAGTATGTGTCACATCATGACGAGGATCTACATTTCCTTCTGGGCATGCATCATTTATCTTGTTGCAGGTTTCTTCAGGTTCTTCATGCTTATCCACACGAACCAACCCATTTTCTTCTAAGATGCCGTCTACCTTTTTGTCCGTTTCAGATGTCAAAGAATCAACTTCAACCCTTTGATCAAAAGTCTTCGCTGTAGTCTCCGGGTTTTTGGTGTGATCATCCACATAAGTGTTGACTTTGTTGCATTTGTGTAACACATGCTCAGTTCCAAGTGAAACTTGAACAGTGTCAGTCTCAAAAGAAACACTTTTCATCTTTTCTTGTTGAGTAAAGCATGTCCCCTCAACTTTTAAAGATGACATTTCAGAGTGGGCTGAGCAAAAAGCTTTCGGCGTAATTTCCATCTCTCCATTTTTACTAATGTTGCTAACATCAATAACTTCACTGACAATCTCTGTCATCATCTTTTCGCATGACTGGAAAAGAAAAGAGATAAATGTAAAAATTACATTTGTGGAGATAATAAATGGCAACCAATAAATAACACTGCATTTCTATTTTAACTGTTCATAGTTTTACATTTTTGACATGAAATAAAAAAACAACTTTTGCATTTGATGAACCATCAATTCAAACCCTAAACCACCATTATAAGTTCATAATAAAACAACATTTGTATCAATATAAATTACATTTATGCCAGATAACTGCTGCATGTGCAGAATCATGGAACATTGGCTTATCTATGTCAAGGTATGTTACTATAATGACCATAGACAGTTTTCTGTCTCAATTCTTTTTATGTTAACAGTGTTTAAAACATTGTGAAATCACCAACAGAACCAAAACACACCAGTTGTGAAAAATCGCCTTGCTGCTCCTACCGCTTTTTGTCTAACTGAACAGAAAACCAAGTTGCAGGTCCTGTTTAATTAAATACTAGCTTCTGAAAATGGATTTTAGAATGTCATCTTTGGTGGAGAAAGACCCTGATGCTTGGACAAAAGACTAAGCAGCTTCAACTACAGCGCTGTGCAGGGTTTTGCTTACATCAGATGTGTTGATTTCATCCAAAACATAAGAAAGTGTCTAAGCATTCAAACGCACCAAATCATAAAAACTAAAGCAAGACAAAGACAAACAATACAGTAGAAGGCAGAGCAGCCATCATTTATGTAGAAAGTTACTGCTTCAGTCTCCAACCTCTTAGGTCACACACTGGTGGTGTCAGGTTAATGAACCCAAAATTACTTTTATTATTAATATATTATTCCATATTATGTGTTCCTAACTTCTAAGTGCCTTTGGGTAATAGTTAAATAAGTGTAATATAAGTAACTCTCCATCAGACAGTATGGCTCCTGGAGTCCAAATATAAATAAGATGATGCCTCCATGAACCAGCATGAGATGAAAGGGCATCGAGTAAGGTTGTAACAGGATCTTGTGCCACGAGATCTCACATTAATAAAACACGATGATATTCATCAATGAGGTGAAGACTCTCACGAAACACCATCCAGTTGCAGACAGCATGACTTTCTATGGTGAAATTAGCATTTAAGATGCACCCACCACTTTTCAATTGTCTGCATGGCAGCAATTTAGACCATCACATCAAACAGAAGGCCTGCAAACCACATTTATCCCCCAAGATCATACTTTCTAACACGTGTTGATGATTATAACCACCTGCATTTATATAGTACACAAACACCCAAAACTGTAAGCCCCAGAATGCACTGCAACACCCAGCAGGGTGACGCCACTCAAGCCTTGTGAACACAGCTCCACCCACCCCTCCATTTTTGCAGCCTCTGCTGAAACCTGCAGCTGCATCCTGAGCACAGATGGGAGGCTGGGTCTTTCTTGTTGCCCTTTCAGGTTTTTTACAGAGCATACTTGGCATCAAGTTGACATGGCGACCTTTTTAATTTGTTTAGGTTAATGAGACGAGATAAAATCAAAGTCTGGAATGAAGTAGTGACAGATATTCATATTTCTGCAAGAATATTTTTGGTTTAAGGCATCTGAAAATATTGACAGTGGTTAGCCATCTGTAATTTTTATTTGATTTAGTCTCCTTGTAAGAATGAGTTTGAATTTGTTAAAATGTCATCTTGTGAACCCAGTACTCATCTTTTGTGCTGAATGTACCATTACACACCCAAGACTGAGACAATCTGAACCCAAAGTACACAAAGTTCTTGAAGATTGGGGACATGGTCAACGAGTAGCTTCAAATCATTTCTGAGCAGTTCTCAGAGTGATGTCACATTATTGACAAACAATTGTTGACAAATGATAATCATTTCTCAGCTAAATCCAAATCTTTGCCAATTTTACAGCAAAATGTTTCACACCCCTATTTTAACCAGTTGCTAACTATAGGTTAATATATTCCCATTCAGACTAACATTTTGTATAAAACTGTTGCATCACCCAACTCAAGCTACAACATAATCACAAAGCAGTAACAATATACCATACATATCATTTGAACTTGCAAAACAAGTACATTATAGCATTTGTCTTTAAATATAATGAAAATAACAGGAAAAAACAAACCTTAAATGTTTCCTTCTCCTGAACCTTTACTGGTGACATCTGACCATTCAGCGTTTCAGGGGGTTCCATTTGTTCACTGGACTCTTTTTTGTTGACTTGTAGCGGTAGCTCTGAAGAAACGGGTTTCACAACAGAGTTTCTCAGCGACAAATCCAAAACTTCAGATTCTGGTTTCGAAAGAGAGCTTTCCTTGGTACTGAGATTCAAAGCTTCTGAAACCAAGGAGTCTGGAGTGGTTGTTACACTTGAAAGAGTTGCAGATGAACTGGTATTGTTCTCAGGCCTCGCTGGACCCGATACCATTTCAGAGGCTTTTTCCACAGGCTTGCTCTCTTCTAGACACTGATGCGGGTCAATTTGGAAGAATCTGGCTGTTGACCGGCTGTAAAATAAGCCTATCCACATGTGGTAGACGAGCTGCATCACTTCGGCGGTGTTTTGAATGAGGCAATCCCATGGCCTATTAAAAATGGTAAATCCACAAAAAAAAAGTCAAGTTTACCACAACAAGGAAATACAACACTGAAATAAGATCAAATATATATTTTTTAAAGTAGCACAAATTCCATACCCATGCAAAGCTCGGATGATTCCTCTGTTCTTAGGATCACTTGTAAACCTGCTGTCTAGACTGAAGTCATAGTTTTCGTCCCATTTTCTTGTGACCTCTATAGAGCCATCCTTGATAACAAAGGTTCGAGAGTGTCTGAACTTTTGTTTGTGCCTGTGCAAGTATTCTGAAGTCCTGCTGTGTTCACTTGTGTCATCATGAATGACAGACTGGTGTAGTGTTTTAACTCCATTTCCATGCACTGTCTGGTGATGGTTTAGCAGTCCGGTTGTACCACTTAAAGGTGATACCTGGAAGGTTGTACCTGGCAAATCCAACAGCAAACAGGAAGATGGGGGCAGTGAGTAATTATGCTCTTTAGACATCAAATCAATCAATTCACTATCTGTCAAAGGAGGGCTTGAAGAAGACTTGAGAGGCTGAATGGCTTTAGCAGCAGGAGTTTTAAGCAGAGCATGAAGAACTGACTCTTGATCAGCACTGGAAAAACCCCTTTCAAGGTCACTCTTCTTCAAACTTTCTTTAGGATTTTTGTCAAGTGCTTCATTTGGTTGTGGAGGAACCTGGTCATAACTGACACTGAGAGCCAAGTCAGCAAGTAAGTTCAAAGCATCTGCAGATGAGCAAGCACTTTTCATTTTTTCCTCAACAGTCTTCCTGACAGTACGATCCCTAGAACAGTCATTGTCTGTGACTTTTTCACTGGTATAAGAAGCTGGAGTTTGAAAATGCAACCACCCTGTGAAGACAAAACAGAGAAGAAAAAAGAAAAACTGCATGAAGATAAAAAGTAGCACATTGAAAGCACATGAAATACACCATTGTTTTACCACTGTATAATTTATCACCAACATGTTAGCTATGTCATTGTTCCATACGGATACGTTGGATCATTAAGACAATAATGGCAAGCAAGTTCAGAGGTTGATATGACAAGCAAAGACTGCAAAAGCATGAATAGGAAATAGTTGATTTCAAGCTGGTAAAGAGCGCAAAGAAAAGAAGAAGCATGCTAAGGACAGTCAAGGAAGCAACAGAATCCTGTTAATGGACAGTTATTTTCACTGGCATGCATATTACAAGAGATCATTGCATCATAGACAAAACACATCCCAAATCTTACTTTTGACTTACATTTCTTTTTAACGTTTTCTGCAGAAACGCCTTGATGCATCTTCAGTGTCTTCATCCTGTTTTTTCTCTTTGGGAAAATTGAAAAAGTCCTTTGCATAATTTGAGGTTGTTTGTCTAAAGAGGCAGGTTTCTCATTCTCTGTTCGGTGTTTACACTGCCGAGCGTCCTGGTCTTCAGTTGTCTGACCCTTATCCTGACTCTCTTTAGGGCTCAGGCCTAAGTAATAGGCAAAAACAGGGTCAACTGACAGCATCTTTGAAACATCGCTGACACTAGATTTGGCATTTGGAGTAGGTGTGCTATTACACTTTGACGTCTCAGTGTTTGAGTCGACGTTCGTCTTCTTGAGACCAGGCTCATCCTCTTGACATGTATTTTCAACCTTTTCTTTGTTGTCAATATCTAGCTTTCTTTTTCGCCTTAAAAGAACTGATTTTAGCTGACTCATCAGATATTCTCCCTTTGCGAAACGTTTTACTGGAGACAGGGTTTCAGTTTGGTTGCTTTGAACAGCATTCAACACTGTGCCATTGCTTTTTGATGAACTCAGGTTGGGGGTCGAAGGCACTGAATCATCGTCATCGACTGGCTGTTCTAAAGTGCTCTGTTCAGAGGTAACATGGGAAATACTTTGGAGATTATCCACACTGTCTGTAGACTGTGTAGCCACAGTTTCACTCACTTCTGTCAGTGACGTAATGCTAGACTCTTCCTCTGTTTCGAGTGTGTCAGGTGCAGTCACAGGGACGTCAGTTGAAATGTTTTCAAGGCACTCATTTTTTGAAGATTGCAACTCAACCTTCAGAGTCCTAACTTGATCAGCAATATCAACAGAACCAAAAGGAACCAAAATTCTCCTACATTCACTGATAACCGGCTTGAGGTCCCAGCGCTCTGTTTTCTTTCTTAAATGAGAAGACTCCAGTTCCATTAAAATCGTGTTTTCCAAGCTCTGCTGTCCATTTTCCAGGTTGTTCTTTTCTGCTTTGGCTGAGCCAACAGTACCAGATCTCACTTTTTTATTTTTTGAGGACAGCTTTCCAAATCTGCGCTTACGCCGTTGTAATTTCCTCCAGCTAGTTTTTAAAGAGTTATTCAACTGAGGAAAGTCCACTTCTTTAGTATTCCCATTTGTGTTGCAGTTTAAATTGTCCACCTCCACAGCCGATATGACTGCCTGAGTCTCAGCACAGGGTTTAGAAACCCTTTTCTGTGCTTGGGAAAGTTTTCTGCTCAGTTTGCCTGGTTTTCTTCCTATGAGCTTGGTGACCACAGAGGCATGCAGCAACTTTTTTGTTTTATCAGTTTCATCGCTGACAGACTTTTCTTCTGCTACTTGCAGCTTAGTGATGGGTGAAAATCCAGAAAACTGAAAATCACCGTGCTCCGTTGATTTAACACCAACACTACTTAGAGTCTCATTGGTTATTCTTTGTTCTGCCGAGGTTATGCTGACAATGAGCTCTTCAGGAAGATCGTCTGAAGTATGAGGAGTAAGGAGACATTTTGCTTTTGCATCATCAGTTTGGTTAAGTTCAGTAATGTTCGTACAGTTTGGATTGTCTTTCACTGCAACTTCAGCTTGCAAATTGTCCACCACAATACTCTGAGGCATAGATATTGGAGAAACTTCAGATTCATCATTTGACGTGTGCACAGACGTCTCATCATTTAACAGAGATCGTTGGTCTGAGAACTGGTTTTCTAAATCCATGCCAACTGGGCTGGCTGGTGCCTCCTCTGGTGATGATAGACAGATATAAACATCATCATTAAAGTCTTCTCTTTGCTCCTCTTGTTCAGCTGCCAAAATTTCAGAAACCTTTGACACTGGGAGTTGAAAGGAAGCTGGTTTGCTCAAGTATGATTTAATGCTCTGCCATGTCCTGTTACTCCACTCGGGAGATGAATAGAGATGCTGGTGAGCTTCCGAAACATCATACTGATCCGGAAAGATGCTCAGTTCTCTTGAAGGCATTGAGGGACTTGTCGTCAGACATGGATTTATTAGTGTAGCATAACTTTGTATATGTTGTGCCAACACTTCACTCAGATCATTGCTTGGGATCATGGATGTTTTCTCAACTTCACCCTCTGCGTAGCTCAGCACTGGTAAAAGCCTGAGTATTTCAGAGGGCATGGCAAACTTCCGCCGTTCAAATTTTGTGTCTGTGACAAATAAACAAAGAATTAGTAGTTTATCGACCAGCCACAATTTTTACAAGAAACAGGTTTATTTCATTAACAACATAGATCGCACATTTTAATCAACTATTTACAAGTCACATGAGCAATAACATAAATAAAACGTGATTCGGGTTTACTCAAATTAATGTTCAGTTTGTGAGTCAAGAAGAATCAAGACCACCAAGCATGAGGGGACATTCTCTGCAACAAATCCTAAAGTGCATCCTTCAACCAGGGTTAGGGGCATTGTGGCACGCCCGCTTATGTAAGTAGGGCTGCAACAACGAATCAATAAAAATCAATAAAAATAAATGATTAAAAGTGTTGGCAACGAATTTCATTATTGATTCGTTGTGTCAAGCGATTATGCATCTTTCACGACGCTGCGGAGCCGTTTTGTTCACGGGCAGTTCATTGTCAATGCTGGCTGACTGAATAAAGTTTGAAAAAAAAAAAAACTCTCCAGCGTGAGTTGAACAGAGCGAGGGGGGAGGAGGAAACAGAGCAGAGGCTGTTTTCAAAGGAAATTACGTAAATTTTACAAATGACCAACGCAGCGAAAACTGTTCGACCCAAGTCCTCCAAAGTGTGGGAGCTCTTCACAAAGATAAAAACTGAGAAACATGCAGCTTTGAAAAAGTGACGACACGACACGGGAGAACCACGCTGATAAACGTAAACATGTCGGAGTCACGAGCGGCAGCTGATACAACTCGTCATGTGTTGCAGGTGAGTCTCTACAATTTAACACATTGTCCTGTTTCAAGAGAGAAATCGTAACGTCAGTCTGTCTGGTAGATGAAGCTGCTTGTTTGTTTGTTTGTTTTCTGATTAATGACGGTGATAGAGAACGTGTGTGTTACTTTTTATTTAATTTAATTGGTACAAGCAGTGTTAAAATGTGATTTATAAATAAATCTAACACAAAGATAATAATTTAATGATTAAGCTTCAACTTTTAATTTGCTGGCAAAGGCTGAAGACACTGCAGGTATGGCAGGATGAATTGCATTTAAACAGGAATTAAAGTAATTTATTACATCTACTCAAATATGTGTAATTAAGTATTTTATGTGTGTGTGTGTGTGTGTGTGTGTGTGTGTGTGTGTGTGTGTGTGTGTGTGTGTTTAATTGCTCTTTTAGCTACTTTTGCCTGAACCTAACACTGTAAGTGTAACAAGGCATTTCTTGAGTTGCTGTAAATTATGCTATAATACATATTTACGCTCTCATTCCAGAAAACAACAACAAACAACAACATCCTTCATGATGGACAGACATCATGGACACCACAGCAGCAGCTGTCTTCACTGAAACATCCTTAAACGATCGTCACTGACATGAGGACTCTGTCAATGGTTGAAGACGAAGGCTTCACTACAATAATCCACACTTTTAATCCGCACTTTTCAGCTGCTTTTGGCTGTTCCAAAAACAAGACTGAAGCTCAGAGGAGATTGGGCTTTTTCAGTCATGGGCCCTAAACTCTGGAACAACGTGCCCCCCAACATCAGGCAGGCCACCTCCCTTCCTCACTTCCAATCTCTGCTAAAAACATCTGTTCTCTCAGGCATTTCATACAGTGTAAATTGATCTAGTGTTTTTTTTTTATCTGTGACCCTATGTTTTAAATGCTTTTTAACAATTCTTCAGTTATTATTATTAGTGTATTGTATTTTTTTCTCTTTAATTTTACTCTCATTGATTGTTGTTGTTGTTGTTAAGCACTTTGATAACAGGTTCTGTTTTAAATGTGCTCTATAAATAAAGTTGACTTGACTTTAATCCAAGTTACACTCTTCCCTCAAGGACACATTTTACAAAGTAGCTACATATTTTGCAGGTATAAAACATACATTTGTTTATATTTTTGTGTACATTAATTTTTTAAGCTATTTGACTAACTTTTATTTTTTAGTATTCAATATTTTATTAACAGAAAAGTCAAACAGCAACCTGTTTTTTGTGTGAATTGCTATGTCAGTCAAATGTTCAATTTTGGAATAAAGGGGTGGAAACTAAATTATTATTTTTTGCCGATTCATTGATTAATCGAAAAACTAATAGGCCGATTCATCAATTATTGAAATAATCGTTAGTTGCAGCCCTAAAGATAAGAATAAGAGCTTCAAGCTTGTGCTACAGTTTTTTAATGTTTGTTATAACGGCGGTCCTACAGACTTAGTATTTACTGAGATAGTAACTTAATTTATAACTTGGTTATAAAAAGTTTGATAACGATTGATGCAAACTATTTAAAAACGTCCGAAATAAAAGCGTAAACAATCGCAATAATCACCTCTTCTTACAACTCTTGAGTGAGGAAACACAAAGAGGCCTTGCAGCACCTCAGCTGAGATGGACTCAGTATCTACAAAAACAAACCAACATGTTACTGACAAACAACCATTTCTCATAAAGGTGGAATTTAGTTGTACGACTGACAACCTGTGTGCTGTCATAACTTTACTAACTTACCATCAAATGTGAGGAAGTGTGAAGAGTGCAACAGGATAAGAAAGCCACCATCACACAGTGGAACAGTGAGGGCCTGAGCAAACACAAGCAAAGTTGTATTCATTTATCTTTTGGGACATTATTCACACCATTTCTATCAGTTCAGCTTTTACATGAAGGACAATGTCTGATAAAACTTGGCTAATTATACTAATTAGTCTACTAACAGAAAAATACAAAGTTTATTAATCATTAAAAACATGTGATGGTCATCGCTCCATGAATCTAATGGCCTATCTGGCTTTCTGTGTTTTATTTAATTATAAAGTGAATACTTCAGGTTCATGGCATTCAGCAGGACAAACTCACAACATCTTTCTCCTTGATCTCTGAGAGAAGCTGAGCTAATGAGCTGCTTTCTTCTTTTCCTTCAGGTGGCACAAACTCACACACACTGCAGTAAAAGCCATCTTGATAAACTGAAGAAAAGCATTAAAAAAAGTCAGTTTAATTGTTGATTAGTTCATTATGAAGTCCCCCACCCACCCAGAGAGATATTTTCTCTAACACTTTATTTTGATATCTTACAAAACAAACCTTCTTCAGCATAGCAGGTTTCAAAAATGGCTCTTGGCAACACTTGTCGCAGAACTGACATAGAAATCACTTTGTCAACCTTCACCACAGGTGGCCTGAAACAGATAAACAAAAGGGAACATAAAGTTTTAAACCATGCAAGTAAAAATACCAGATATCTGAATGTGTACATGTAACGTACAGCTTAACAGGAATAACATCCACAGCGGTAGACTTCAGGTCGACGGCGTAGAACTGGTGGTTTATCTGAAACTGACCCCTCCACAGCAAGTACTGATAAACTGAAATATAATGAAAGTTAAAAAAAATGCAAAGCATGATAAGAAAATATTCATGCTCAATAATCCAGGTGGAAAAAATCCAACAAAGCCAGGTCCTGTGGACGGTTTGTTTTTGTTGAAACATTTCATCTTTCATCCAAAAGACTTCATCAGTCTGAGGAGCTGCAACAAACTCAGTCTTATAAATAGCACATTCAACATAGTGGGTCAACCAGCTTGATGGTGCTCAGGTGGTTTGTGTTGTTCCTCTCCCTCGCCGCCTCGTTTGAGGCAGTCATGGGCAAAGTGGTTCAAAATATCCTGATTCATGCTGACGGTCTTTTGGATGAAAGATGAAACATTTCAACAAAAATAAACCGTCCAGAGGACCTCACTTAACTTTGCTGCATTATAAGTTTTTTTTTTTTTTTTTGGTGATAAGAGCGTTCACAAAAACATTTAACCTCAAATTAGAGTAAGTGAAAAATTTGGTACTGAATTACATTATCGGTAATTAGGCCTGGGCAATATGAACCAAAAATAATATCTCGATATTTTAAGATAAATGGCGGTATACAATATTTATCTGAATATTTTTTTCTTTCCATAAATAACAAAAATATATTTCTGAGTCAAAGCTTTGTCCCAATTGTCACATAGGCATCTTTATTAACAAAGCTGTAACTGTACAAAATAAATGTATTAAAAAAAACTTTTTTTCCTGCATAACAAAACCAAAAACACAGCTGTGCACTTAACATTTAAACAGAACACGTACAGAGCAAACATAAAGAAAGGCTGACTTGCTCTTTAAAGTCTGATTCTAATCAAGTATATTCATTCAACCTCTATTAACAAAGCTGTTTGAAAGCCCTCATTGTGTAATTGGCTTGTTTACTGAGCTCTGTTCTGTTTGGTTACGGCTTGTTTCTTTCTGAATTTCATAGTTCCTATGCTCTTGAATGCACCCTGGCTGTTCCGACGCTAGTGAACGCACCACTCTTTGTAAACCAAGTGCAGAGCAGCGTGTAGGTCGGGGTCTGTTTCTCTCACGACATGGACTGAGCCTTAAGCTTCTATTTGCGCTTTACTTCTGAGTGCAAACACCAGAAGAAACACAGCAAATAAACCACCTTAAACTGGATATTTGTCTCCATGATTTTTAATGAGAAGACAACTTCATATCTTGCCACTCCAGTGCATTTCCTGGAGAACACCAAACCTTTGCTTTTTAGCACGATCATTTTCACACCTATCAGGAAAACAGTGGCTCTCCCAATGTGAGTCAACAAAGACATATCTGCATATGCATCTAGCTTTGCTCAGCTTTATAATTCTAGATTCATAGAGTCTGCAGAGGGTTTGTATTCAGTGACAGAGGGAAGTGGGTGGTGTGAAGACTCAGACTACGAGGAGAAAACTGATGGATTTTCAAGCACAATAACTCTAAAGCCCTATTCGCACGGGATTAGTGTTGCCTAGGGACCACATACTATTTGTAATGATTGTGGAGATTGTGATGTTAATCCTGTGCGAATCGGCCAAGTCAGTAATTTGTAAAGTAAAAATTCCCCCGCAAATTACCTACTGTATTTTGCTGAACTCTGAGCTCCTGTGATAATACTAATCCAATGTGAATAGGCATCTCTGTGATTTGGACAGAAATGGGTCGGATCCGATACGTAATGGAAGCGTTTTTTGGTTTTGTTTAAGTAAAATCATTTGGAAAAATATAGAACAAGGCTATTTTAAATGAATGCGCTGCTCGCTTCGGCTTTTTTTTTTTTGTCTTTTTCTCATGCACCGGTCCTGGAGATACTGCAATACCAGGTCAATGCGTGGAGTAGACGGAGCAAGCACCTATTCCATCTCCCTGTTCCAAAAATCAATTTACTATATGGTCCCCGGGTAGGGGACAGCTTTTATGCTGCTACTTCCTTCACTGCAGATGACAGCAGGTGCAGAGCCGCGTGCGTGATGAGCTGACCCATACATCCACCCGCTTTTTCCTTTTCGGGTAGCAGGATCGCTGGTGCCCATGTCCAGCCATCACTGTGCGAGAGGTGGGGGACACCCTGGACAGGTCGCAAGTCCATTTCAACCGTGCTTATTATAAAATCACATCAAAGCCTGAGACCGTCCCGGCCCGCACATTAAACACATTATTATGGACCGGCCCGGTCATGACAACGCAGCGCGTTAACATCATATCCAGAAAAAGTCCATAAATTTCAGCTAAATCTCAGGCTTTAGCTATCTCGTGTGAATGCGCCACATAAAAAGCAGACGTTAGGGAGTAATTTATTTATTACATGTGGTCCTTAGGTAAAACTAATCCTGTGCAAATAGAGTTTAAGACTATATCGTTTTATATCAATATAGTCTCATTTTGTATCGCATTTGAAATTATCGTGATATTTTAAAAACATCCAGATATTGCCCAGCCCTACCGGTAATATGTACCAGTGTGTAAACAATGGGGTACGCCTCCAAACCGTTTATTAGAAACAGTACTGAGGTTATTCCAGATTTAAGCCCTATTCGCACAGGATTAGTTTTACCTAGGGACCACATGTACTAAATAAATTACTCCCCAACGTCTGCTTTTTAGTTGGCACATCTGCACGAGATAACCAAAGTCTGAGATGTTGGTGAAGATTTTCAGTCATCCAGGACATGATCAATTCAAAAAATGTTCAATACAAAAACAAAACAGCTGAAATTTACAGAGATCTTCCGGATATGATGTTAAAGCGGTGCGTATTGCGTAAGTCTGCTTTTGTGTTCACGTGTTGTTTGTATGTTCCATTATGGGTCAATAGGCTTTTGCTGGCCCAGGACGCAAAAGGTTATTTATGCACTCCAATGCAGCCAAAAGCAAATAAACATGTGGCCAAGAAACAAAAAATGCCTCATTATGTATCGGATCCTGCCCATTTCTGTCCAAATCACAGAGATGCCTATTCTCATTGGATTAGTATTATCACAGGACCTCGGAGTTCAACAAAATATAGTAGGTAATTTGTGGGAGAAGTTTTACTTAACAAATCCCTGATATGGCCAATTCGCATGGGATTAACAACACAATCTCTGTAATTATTACAAATAATCCCGTGCATGTTTAATGGTTTAGATATAAAAGTAGTGACATTTATCCATCTTGCTTTTTATTTACCTCAAATGTAATCAAGGCAAAATTTGCCAATGTTCCCTTCCAATACCTCGTACAGCACGTACAGCGTTACGCCAAAAAAGCAGTAAAGTCCAGGCGCTTTTGCAGCTGCAATCCAACAAAACGATTCTCAAGTTGCAGCAAAACCCAATGGCCATCTTCTAACAACTTGCTCCAAGACATCTGAGCTAGCAGCAAGTCAGACGTTCTCCTGAGTAGAACCCCATTTTGGAACACTTTCTGCATCTGAGGCTCACTTGGTTGGTGTTTATGCCGCTAAACGCATGTTTGGTATTTCAGAGAGTGAGCCACTTACATGTACTGTGCTATAAACAAGTATAATAGATCAATCACAACTATTGTGTCTGAGCGTTTTTGTGACCCCCTTACACTTAGAAAACGTGTTTCATAAATAAAGAAGAAAACTTTGTGTCTGCTCTTTTAATCCCAAGTGCAGCTCTTTCATAGGCAATCTGTCCATGTACTATTCATGCATAGATAAATCGCCAATTGAACTCTTTCCTTGTTCTAGTTAAAAGCCAAGCATTAGCGCGAGACTCACCTGTATAAGGGATGAATGAGTTAGCAAACATGAACAAGTTTTTACAAGTGAAAAAGTTTGAGCGCAGCAGGAAATGTTAAATGGAAGACATACAAGGTTTCAAACTGTTTATAGAGAACGTAATCTTCAAAACACTCAGATACAGTGCAGGATATTTGAGCAAAATGACAGCAGACCCCCACTAAACTGATCATTTCAGTGTTTATACAAATCATCTACAGCTTTTTTATATTAAATCATATGTTACTTACCCAGATCTGTCATCTCACTGGAAAAGAAAATTGAGACTTCATTAATACGATTTGAATAATTCAATTCTTGATGAAATTGTACTAGATAAAGAACATAAAAGTTAAAGACAGGTGGGTTATTGAAAAGGTGCAATACCTTTTCTCTTGTGAAAGAACTGCTGCTTTGGTATCCATATATGAAAACGATACAATAGCAATTGGATAAGCAGCACTGGGAGACAGAGTTGTCCCATTGCTTCCATCATCCAGCAGCTCATATATGTAATACTGAAAAATAAAATACTGTGTTACTTTTGGTCAGGACATGACTTTTAACTCCCACATTAAAGAGTTACCAGAACATCTACCTGTGTAATATCACGAAGACTAGAAACATCTTGTCCAAAAATGATGCAGAAAAACTGGTCCATGCATTTGTCACATCTACGTTGGACTATTGTAATGGTTTATTATCTGGGTGTCCAAAAACATCTTTAGTTAATCCAAAATGCTGCTGCCAGAGTCTTAACTGGAGTTAGTGGGAGAGATCATATCTCTCCAGTTTTAGCTTCTCTCCATTGGCTCCCTGTCAAATCCAGAATTTAATTCAAAATCTTACTTCTAACCTACAAAGCTCTCAACAACCTAGCTCCATTTTATATTACAGATCTTATTGTTCCATATTTTACTAACAGAGCACTTCGCTCTGACTGCAGGTTTACTTGTGGTTCCTAGAGTTTCCAAAAGCAGAATGTGAATCAGATCCTTCAGTTATCAGGCTCCTCTCTAGTGGAACCAACTTCCAGTTTCTGTCCGTGAGGCTGACACATTGTCCAGTTTACAGACTGGGATTAAGACTTTCCTTTTTGATAAATCCTATAGTTAGAGATGGCTTAGGTTTCCTGCCCGATCTCTGTTATGCTGCTATAGGATTAGACTGCTGGAGGACAAACTGAGCACACTTCCTCACTCTGCTGCTGTCTGAACTTGCTCTTCCTCTTTGTATTTGTAATTATTTCTATCTGAACATGTTTTTTGTCTTTCCTCCTACAGAAAGTTCATCTGGACCTGCCGTTCTGTGTTCGGCTCTCCTTCCTGTCCTCTGAAACCAGCCGGTCACAGCAGATGGCTGCTCGTCCTGAGGCTGTTTCTGATGGAGGTTTCTTCCTGTTACCAGGAAGTTTTTCCTTTCCACTGTCTCCTTTGTGCTCGCTCAGGGTGGGAGACTGTGATGAAGTGAAGATTCAACTCAACCTGCTGCTTCCTTAGATAAAGAACTTCTACTAATTGGCTTTTACTGTATAATGCATGTCAATATTTTTGTTCAGTGCCCTGAGATGACTTCTGTTGTGACTTGGAGTTGTATAAAATAATTGAATTGAACTGAAAAGCAAAAGGCACGTAAGCAACACTTGTAAGGCAACAACACACAAAAAAAAAAAAAAAACAGGCCCAAACTGAATTATAATAACTGAAATTTTACCTGGGTTCTTTCGAAAGCAAGAAAGGAGCTGGTTTTGTCAGATACCAAAGGCAGCTGTTCTGACACGTGACAGTCGAAGCCCACGGTGGGTTCAGTGAAATTCTGAGTGTAGTTCTCTACGACCCTTTTAACTTTACCCTGTCAGCAACAATAAAAGAAAAATACTCATAAACGCAGCAGTGAGTGTTCAAAAGAATATTTCACAATCTAACTTTTTATTACCTTTGTCAGCCTGACAATGGCAATGTATCCAGATTTCCCATGATACCAGCGGTTTAGATCCAAACAATCAGAGTACATGGATATGTACACACCTATTAGTAGACATTCATTCAGATGTAAATACAGGCAGGGGCAAATACAAGTACAATGAGAAAAGTGTAAAATGTTATAAGTGGAAGTATGAGACAACACCAATACAAGTACAGAACCACCACACCCTGCAGGGTGACTGGGCTGCAGTTGTGAAGGACACACCTTATGCTCCAAACAATGCTGCGTTCAGTACAGTGGACCTGAACAGGTCACGACTCTGGCATGTCTGGTTCTGGTTAATATATCTTTCAGAGAACACTACACACGATGCATACGGCGCACAGCTTGCCTACGTCAGCAAAACCTGGAGCACTTCTTCCAGCTATGTGTTGCTTCTTCTCACCAACAATAATCAACAGCTAACACAAAATAATTACCATTAATTTGTAATGTATAAAGAAACTAAAGCTTTAAAATTGAGTGAAAACTAATAAAAGTTCTGTAACCTGAAACAAAAGAAGCCATAAGCTGGTTTAGCGTGTAAACCGAGGAGCTAAAAACTGGTCTGGTGAGCTGGATTTTTTGCATAAACTAAAAAAAAAAAAAAAAGCTCCTCAGTCTGAGAATGAGCTGGAAGGTTTCTGAAAAGTAAAAAAAAAGAAGAAGTATTCGTTCCAGTTACTTGACGATCTACACCAGATCTTTAACAGATCGAAACAACTAAGAAATACATTATGCACGTTCACTTGCACAGAAACAAAATGGACACGCTCACAAAGAAGCTATTCTACGGCTAAAGCTCCAAAACACGGACAGGCAACGATCAATGGAGCACGGTTCATGTACGCTGCAACTTGCAGGTTCAGTTGTACAACAGACACTTCTTCCACTTTCACTTCTATACATGTTCAGAGCCCTCAGCTTTGCTTTCACTTTTATTCGCACCAGGCACACGAAACAGAAAGAATCTCCTATCCTCAGCTCAGATGTGGACCGTCTGCGTGCGCCGAGTGCACTTCTTCTTCATGTGTTCCTTCAGCTCCCAACTGAACCGTGAGTATGCACTCGGTCTTTTTACACGTGTACGAAAGGCAGTGCAGCTATTTACCCTTGGACGGATCTCCCAAAGTGGAGCATTTGCTGTTTCCTGTGGACAAACCGGTTTCTCCGACTGCGCTGGCCTTCAAAACACGACAAGAGTGGTTAAGAAGCGTGTGAGCACCAGGAAGGGCAGGGGCTTTGGTTGAAAAGGGGTCATCTCAGACGTGCGCTCGTACCTTGCTGCTGTCCTCAAACAGCAAAAAGCCAAAGGACTCCTTGAGCTCATGGTCTGTGTAGCCTGCGCCTTCCCTCTTGGCTCGGAAAGCTTTGTACTGTTGAAGGGGAAACGACAAGAAAACTCAGCACATACTCTCAGAAACTTCGCAAACTGGGTTTTCCTTCATTTCTGAAGGAAGGGGTATAATGTACACAGACTTAAAACGCTGAATGCAGTAGTCATGGTGCATGGTAGTAATAAATACTGCAGTGAACTCTTGTGTGAGCTGTATGAAGGGCTGACCTTTTCTTCCAGTTCAGGATTCTCCACCAAAACAGCAGAGTTGTATCTGAAGAAGTACTTTGACTCCTCATACAAGTACGCACTTTGAAGTGGAGCCAAAATAGTGCTCTGAAACCCCTCCGAGGACTCTGGAACAGGTTTTAAAACACCTGGGAGTGCCGACAAGAACACGGACACGGTGAGGGGACAATGTGGAGGACAGCGAGCCACTGGAAAATTACAACACCGCTCAGAGACACACGGGGTGAACTATTTCACCACCGTGGGACAGAGGACCTGCTCGAGCACCGAGCCGGAGCCACAAAACTGAGTTTGAATTTCTACCACAAATGCGCCTGAGCACCAACATGCCCTGACTTTATGTTTAAAGTGGCGACAAGAAGCTGTTCACCTTCACCTTTAGTCGAGGCACCACCATTTTCCATCGCTCATGAAATCTGTCCTGGCTCCTGTGCTTGTCGTAGAAAACAGCCGTCCTTGGTTTTAAACATCGCCACCGAGTAAAAGTCGAAACCAGAATGAAACTCGATCAATCCCGTTAGCGTCGACGCGTCCAAAGTCCCACGCGCAGTTACATCCGACATGACAAGGCGACGACCAGGAAGTTACAACAAGCAGCTCCCAAACACACAAGAACGATAAACCCGAGGGCGCTTCGAGAGCAACTAGCACACGTCTTCGGTGTCCAGCGTGGATCTTCGTGGGGCTGCGTGGCCCGAAGCGAAAAGGAAACAGAAACCCGTGGAGCTCGAAGAAGCGTCCATCTTGAAAGTCTCTTCCGAAGTGAAGCGCGAGGAGAAGCTGGTTTGCGCCGCCTGCTCGAGCAGCTCCACGGTCAAACTGCACATGCAAAGTGGAAACCTACATGTATGTTCTTAACGTGTGCTCCTGGACATGACACGGCTACAGTTCAACAGTCAACCAGAGGAAGTTCGCGCTGGATGGTCATACTTCTTACGTTCGTCTTTACAAGATTCACGGCTGAGTTTTTATAAAGGCAACACCCATTTAACACAAATAATCTGTTTTTATTTTATTTAATAGTGCAACAGTTACACGTGCATTGTACCTACACATAGAAATGAACCGACTAGTCTTCTTACTTTCAGTTTCAGAAAACAACAACAAAAAGACAGAATAATAGCATACAATTTATTATTTTCCATTCTATTTTTAATTATCCGTATATAACGAAATAATTCATATTTTTTAAAAAGTTAGCATTTTTGTCCAAAGTAGTTCGTCGTCCACAGGCCTGTGTTCTCCATTGTTTGTATTCAGTGGTGTTTTATCTATTTTTGCTTCCTTTGACTTTATTTTTAACATCTTATTGCAGATAGCAAATGAGTCTTTGTTCAATAAAAATGTTGAACATTGAAGATGTAGCCTTTTGCCTTTGGCCATTGGCGTCAGAAGCATTTGTAATGTAGGGGGGACACACTGGTGGTGGTGGTGGTGGTGGTGGTGGGGGGGGTCCTGGGGGTCCACCCCCAGAAAATTTAGAATGGATGCCATTTCCTGTTTCTGCTGTATTTTAACGAGCCGTTAAGCATCGTTTACCTATGAAAACACTTGATTCATTGGACACTTGATTCATTGAGGCTCAATGGGATTTACCTCTCTAAATAAAGGTTGAATGAATGAAATTCAATAACTATTTTAGAAAGCATGGCACAATAAGCCTAAACCAGTGGTTCTCAAAATGGGTCCTCAGACCCACGGGGTCCATGAATTTGGGGGTCCGCCATGGACTCCATATATTACAGTATATATATATATATATATATATATATATATATATATTTATTTATTTATTTATTTATTTATATTCATAAATTCCACTCTGTCTGGAGTTGCCAATGGTGAGAGGCGTCGAGCTGGTGTGGGTCTACTTGTAGCCCCCCAGCTTGGTGCCTGTGTGTTGGAGTTTTCCCCGGTAGATAAGAGGGTGGCTTCCCTTCGCCTTCGGGTGGGGGGAAGGGCTCTGACTGTTGTTTGTGCCTATGCGCCGAACTGCAGTTCAGAGTGTCCGACCTTCTTGGAGTCCTTGGCAGGGGTGCTGGAAGGTGCGCCAGCTGGGGACTCCTTTATTCTGCTGGGGGACTTCAATGCCCACGTGGGTAATGACAGTGTGACCTGGAGGGACGTGATTGGGAGTAATGGCCTCTCTGATCTGAACCCGAGCAGTGTTCTGTTGTTGGACTTCTGTGCTAGTCATAGTTTGTCCATCATGAACACCATGTTTGATCATAAGGGTGTCCATAAGTGCACTTGCCACCAGGACGCCCTAGGTCGTAGATTGATGAATGACTTCATAGTCGTGTCATCTGATTTGCGGCCATTTGTTTTGGACACTGGGGTAAAGAGAGGAGCTGAGCTATCATCTGATCACCACCTGGTAGTGAGATGGATCAGATGGCGAGAGAAGATGCCTGACAGACCCGGTAGACCCAAACACAACTATTTCTTATCTCAGACCTCCAAAAATCTAAATGACCCTATCAGATTCTGGAAAACCATTAAATCTCTCTCAGGCAACCCCCAATCATCTGACCTCCCATCACAACTTCTCGTTAACTCTGTTCCTGTGTCAAATAAGCACGAGATCCTGAACTGTTTCAACAAACATTTTGTTGCTTCTGGTTCTTTATTTGACACAGTTACTAACAAAAAATCAGCCACTTCACTTAATAACCAAACTTCTACAAATCAAATCCCTCCTACAAGTCAATCCTCAGTTAAATACAGCTTCTCTTTTTCTCCATTCTCAGTCAGTGAGGTCAATAAACTGTTAAAAGATCTTGACCCTAAAAAAATGCAGGACCAGATGAACTTCCACCTTATTTTTTAAGGCTGGCTGCTCATATCATCACAGTCCCTGTGACCCACATCTTTAACCTGTCCATAAGTCAAAACTCCATTCCAGACACTTGGAAAACAGCCTTTGTTCTACCTTTGCTGAAGGGAGGTGACCCCACCTCACTGAACAACTATTGATCAATCTATAAACTCAGAATTTTAGCCAAGGTTCTAGAAAAACTGATAAACTCTCAAATCAAAAAATACCTGGACTCATTTAACATCTTACCTCCACATCAATCTGGTTTCAGGAAGCAACACAGCACAATGATTGCTTCATTGAAGGTTCTTAATGACATCGTTGAAGCACTGGATGCTAAGGATTATTGTGCTGCACTTTTCTTAGACCTGTCTAAAGCTTTTGACACTGTGGATCATAACATCTTGTGTCATAAACTCTCAGAAATCGGTTTCTCAGATCACACCCTTGGTTGGTTCTCTAACTATCTCTCAGATCGGAGGCAATGTGTTCAACATAAAATGATACTTCCTCCAGTTATTTAACAGTCAACAATGGTGTACCTCAAGGCTCAGTCTTAGGACCCACCCTCTTTACATTCTACATAGATAATGTAGGTCAAAACATCCCTGATACATACAGTGTATATATATATATATATATATATATATATATATATATATATATATATATATATATATATACATACACATTTTTTTTACAAGCATATGTTTAAAAACCCGTTAAAATACACCAAAATGCAAGAAATCACATATACTTTATTAAAATTTTTCTGGGGGAGGACCCCTGAATCCTCGGCACCCCCACCGTCCCGCCCGCTATTTCCATTCTGTTATTGATTGATTTTAAGTCCTGTTACTTGGTATGACTACTGCTTTTATCCAATAATGGTCAATCAGATCATCTGGACAGTTTCTTTTTTGTGGAAAGACATTTCACCCTCTATCCGGAGGGCTTCGTCAGTCTGAGGAGTCCCAAGTAAACTGTTTTCTCCACTAAGCAGTACACTCCTTTAGTGGACCAACATTTGCTAGTGATAAGATGGTTTCTGGGGGACTGTCCTGTCCCCTGTTGACTCCTCCCAGGTAGGCAGCCATAGCCAAAGTGGTTCAAGACATCAAAGTTCATGTTCAATCATCCAGGTACAAAATACAATAATGGTCAGTCAGGTCATCTGGATAGTTTCTTTTTTGTGGCAAGACGTTTCGCCCTCAATCCGGAGGGATTCATCAGTCTGAGAAGTCCCAAGTAAACTGTTTTCCCCACTAAGCAGTGCGTTCTTTTAGTGGACTGTCCAAATGACCTTATTGACTATTACTGGATTTTGTACCTGGATGATTGAGCATGAACTGTGAATACTGCTGTTATGATTCTGTTCAGTTTTATGTAGAGTTTTCTGTAACAATTTGAAGAAATGGCACTACATTTTTCAATTCAATTCAAAAATACTTTATTAATCCCAAAGGGAAATTATTTGTTGTTGTAACTCGTTATCCTCATTTCATTAAGAGACATTATAGATACTGATGACTGTAGACAGGAAGGATCTCTTGTAAAGATCCATCCCACAGTAAATCCCAAGAAACAGGCTGCAGATGCCGTCTGATCCGCCCACCCAGACTCGGCTGGCCTCTCGGTTCCCCCGGGCTGTAGGACCACCCAAATGCCGGGCAGAACTCCTCCCAGAGCGATGGCCACTCCTCCCAGCAGTCTGCCGAGCTCCTCGTCGCTGCGGACAGCCAACTATAGGTGCCGAGGGACGATCCTGTCCTTCCGCTGTCATGAGCCGTGTTTCCTGCTAGTTCCAGGATCTCAGTGGTCAGACATTCTAGCACAGCTGGAAGGTAGATGACAATGCATCCACAGAACATCCTTTCAACTCATTTGAGATTTGGGGCTGTAGTTGAGATATTATTTGAGCTTTTGAGATGTTAATCAGCTGCTGTTGGTTGTAGAAAACTGCCTTGTTGCCATGGTTCCGCATCATAACAAATGTCCAAAACTAAAAAAGTTTCAGTAAAAATCCTTCCAGCTGCACAGCATCTGATACCAGAGGAAACAATCATCACAAAATGTGATTTACATCCAGAAAAAGAGGAATTAAAGTTTCCAAAAGCAAAATCTCAGAATGAAATTAACAGAGCTGCTCCAACATGCAGCCACCTGGAGTGGCGCAATTTAAACGACTTTTTTATGAATCTTTACACTTATTCTATTATTTTAAAGTCTTTGGTGTCCTGAAAAAAGGCAGTGATTGTGATGAGTATCACCTGCTGCAGCTGTTTCTTCTCCAAGATGGCCGCCAATCAGCAGACCTAAGGATCATCATCTTGATGAGACTCCTGACTACTTAAGGCTGCAGCTAGATGTTTCTCGTCGCAGGAGCATTTGCCACTGATTGTACACTTTGTCTCTAGCCTATGTTTATCTCTCGTGCTTTAAACTAAGACCTTTTCCTGTGGTTGCAGCTTACCTGCCTCCGTGGATCTCCTCGTGCCTTGGTCTTCCTTTAGTTCCATGCCTTGGTCCCCATCGTGTCTTGGTCTCCCACTGGTTCTGCATCTTGGTCCCTGCCGTGCCTTGATACCTCTCTGCTCCTCTCTCGGTCCCTTGTGCCTTGCCTTCCAGCCACACGCCTCCTTGCCTTCCAGCCACATGCCTCCTTGCCTTCTCGTCTGGAATCCGCCTTGGTCCCTCTTTGACCATCAGCTGGACTGTAAGACAGATTCACTGGATTAACATCTCCTCGTTTTCCCAGCCAGAAACCTCTGACCTTCTCCTT